GAGGAGGGCAGGCGTGCGGGCCCCCCCAGCCCAGCCTCGCCCCCCGCCACCGCCGAGCGCTTCCGTTGCGCCCAGTGTGCCAAGGCTTATTCCACCTTCGCCGGGCTCTCCAAGCACAAGCAATTGCACTGCGATGCCCAGGCCAGGAAATCCTTCAGCTGCAAGTACTGCGAGAAGGAGTACGTGAGCCTGGGGGCTCTCAAGATGCACATCCGGAGCCACACGCTGCCCTGCGTCTGCAAGATGTGCGGCAAGGCCTTCTCCCGGCCCTGGCTGCTGCAGGGCCACATCCGGACGCACACCGGTAACGCTGGCTCTTGCCCTTCTCCCTCCCTCCCTTATCGCCTCCTGCTTCCCAGCTCCACGGCCCCCAGCGAATCAGCAGGCCAGGTGTTATCTGGGAAGATAAGGGCTTCCCAAACCCCCTTGGCACATCTCTCTAAAATGTCCTTTAAATATCCTCTTGGCTGGAACCGAGCATAGGGTCAAGGCTCGGCTTGTAAATCTGTGCTGCTGCTGTTAGTGCCGTGCCCGCCTGTGGGCCAGCCCATCGGCCATGGTGTGATGACACACACATCAGCCCAATTTCATAAATTGGGGCTATGAGACTGCCAGAGCACTCCCTCCCTGCACACCACCATGCCCAGAGCATCCCTCCCTGCCCACACCAAGGGCTCCTGGCCAGGCTCCCCAGCCAGAGCAGCATCCCAGACCTGGCTGCCCATCACCGTGGCCTCCAACCCGCTGCCCCGCACAGCAGCGATGAGCTTGGCTCAAAGCACACCCGCTGCTGAGATGCAGCTCAGCAAGGCCCGTGGGCAGGTGCTGGGGGGTGCGGGCCTGTTGGTGTGGGTCCGGGCACCGCAGCTGCAGCCCACCCCACCGCCACGGCTGCCCGTACAATGCATCTCCCGAGCATCCTTTGTGGGGCTGCGGGGATAGTGTAATTGTTACTTGGCACTGATTTCACACCCTCTTAACGTACTAAAGACGATGGCTGAAGGAAGCTGGGGAGACTTAATTGTGCTTTCCAAATTGAGCATACGCATTTGTTTCCTCCAAAAGAGTCTTTCTGGGAGGAATTCTCCCTGGCCAGGCTTTTCAATGAGAGCCGGGCAGGAGAAGGGGGAGCGCGGGGCTTCAGCGGAGGAAATAGCTATACTCACCCTGGCGCTGGCGCCTTTCAGCCGCTGCCTGCTATGATATAATTAACACATAGTGCTTGGCTTTCCTGCCTCGCTGCAAATGGTTCGCTTGGCTCCAGGCAGGAGACAAATATCGTGTCTTCGTTTGTATGTGCAACTGCCTTGCTGCTTGCAGATGTTTCCAGCATTAATTTTCCGTGGTTCATAGGAGAGGTTTTTCTGGGAGTAGGAATTTCCCAAGTCCGCGGCTTTCCCCGAAGTGAATGCTGTACATACCTCGCCCGGCTTTCCCCCCTAACAATAACAGCCAGCACTTCTTTTCACTGTGCTCCTCACAAACTTTGGCTAATGAATGGCTCCTTCTTTGATATTCCCCATGTGTTGATGCACTGGTTAATTGGGAGCGTTTCTCTTTGTCCCATAGGTGAAAAGCCCTTTTCCTGTACACACTGCAACCGGGCCTTTGCTGACCGCTCTAATCTCCGAGCCCACCTGCAGACCCATTCAGATGTAAAGAAGTACCAATGCAAAACCTGCTCCCGGACTTTCTCCCGTATGTCTCTGCTCCACAAGCACGAGGAGACGGGCTGCTCCGGCTCTCGCTGAGGACTTCGCTCCCCCAGGCCTCTCGCCACGCAAATACCTATATTCTAACTAGTTTCTGTAGGACTTAGTTTCCTCCGCCGCCATCGCAGTGTGCACCGGGCTGGACGCGGCTACTCCGGCCCTCAAGACCCCCACACTCCTCGCTCGGTGCCTCCTGTGCAATGCGAAGGCCTGATCCCCCTCCCGTCCCGGCGTCTGAGGGTGCGGGGTCGGACTCCGGTGCAAAGCGAGTGCGTGGAACTCGGGGGATGCAGCCCTGAGCCTGAGCAGCT